AAGTTGTAACGGCGCCGTTTCCTTTGTGAGTATTTATTACACGGCGTGCTGCGGGGAAAAGCCTGTTCTAACGTTTGAGTCTAAGGTTTATTTTTAGCACCTGGCGGCTCTTTTTTGCGACACCACGAAACAAACGACAGCGTAAAATGAAACGACAGACGTTTTTATATCGTCATCCGATATATATCGTTATATCGAACAGCCCCATTTATCGATTTATTTATTAATTATCAAAAAACGACTACACTACGCACTAACTACACACAGCAAACACCTTCAGTGTTGCTCACATCTCTACACTCGCTCTCGCTGTCTTGACCACAGCTTTCTCCTCTTCCTGAGTAACAAACTGCAACGTGTCGCCGTGTAGTTTGTTTGATTGGTTGACACGGTGCAGGCGGCCTGCTCTGCTGTGAACGAATGACGTATCAGTGGCGGGACTATGACGCAGGATTTGGGATTATTCACTAACTCTGGAATTAATCCTGGATTTTCTGTGCTGCCTGTCGGGTTTATTTTATTAGAGGAGACGCCATAAACTCAAAGTACAAATGTCTTTCAGATTTATTATTCAGTTAAGTGTTCGAGTTATAAACGGATATGTGTCTCTTTGTTTACTCAGGAGAGCGAACGAACAAAGAGCCGCACGCTCAGTAAACACAGACTCGACTCTCATGCTCACTTTCCAGGTGCTCCAACATCTAAGGCTGTTTTATTATGAAGAACCAACTGCAGCACTTAGTAACACTGAGCACCTCCCCTCTCTGTCAGGAGCATCTCCTAGATCACCCCCAGTGATGTGAAAATAGACCTGCGATGGTATATTCAGATTTAGTTCGCCAATTAGACATTATAGAAACTTAATTAATGCGGTCCACAGTTTATCAGGGCTCATCCAACAGGATGGATTTAAATTAGTTTGCGGTTTAATTAGGTACATGTTCATTAGATAAACCTCTCAGAACTTCATTAACACCAATTTATATCAAAATCTCTATTAAATCAAGATCAACCTTCAGGACTCATCGTAACTGCACTGGTACGTGAGCGAGGTTGGACCGGCGTCCTTACAGTCACTGGAAGCACCGATCTTACCGTCGTACGGGCTCCTGACCACGTCTGAGGCACCAAATCGAAAAGTCTTTCCCTCCACAGAAGCAGAGGAGGTCGGCCCTGAAAGAACGAAGGATCTGGGAGCTGTTAGACCCGTTCCTAATGTTTGTTACACCACGCAGGCTCCACCTCACCCACCTCTGTGGTATTATGATGAGTTAGACGTGTGTAATTATCTTCCTTTGGTGTGGAGACAGATGGTGCTGAGAACATAACAAACACCTGCTAAGTAATCATTTTATATTTAAAGCACCTTTTACATGTATGGATGTGTGTGTGTCTGTACTTATAGATATATATTACTTACATACTAATATCAGTGGTAGAATACTTTATACTTTATTTCTTGAATATTTCCACAACCCTCTATTTATAATCACATAGTGTGTATGCTGCCATGTATATAGTGTATTATCTTATTTATTTTGTGTGTCTTGACTTTCTGTTCTTCTGCTATCTCTACCTGAGCTGAGGTAACACACAAATGTTCCCCACCGTGGGATCAATAAGTCTCATCGTATCTCTTATCTCATCTTAATCATAGAGTGTAGACCTTACAACTAGGGCTGCCACGATTAGTCGACTATCAAAATCGTCGACGACTGATTTAATAGTCGACGCGTCGTTTGAAGCTTTGTAAGATCTGGAGTTATAGTTTTTACACAGCTGAATAAACGTCAAGCAGACAGCTGATTATCAGAAGTGTGAGATGCTCGAGAATATACTCCGGTGTCCTGTTATATTTTAGATAGCAAGGAGTTTATTAAACTTCACCGAAACAATCTGCAAATGTCATTAAAATTTAATAAACTATCATCTTGTCTTTATTTTTAGTTAGCACCTTAAACACTTAAAGCTGTAAGCTAATGATAGTTATATAAGAGCAGATGCTGCTGGTGCAATCCCATATGGAAAAGATATTTATAAATCTTATAAAGTTTGTATCTGTCTTGTGTGAAACTTGTATGAAAAGCATATAAGAGTGAAAACAGATATAAGATCCCTTGAAAAATTATATAATGAAACTTGTATGTTTTGGATACTTACTAAAACAAT